GTCTTATTTGGACAGATGTGTTGATCCAACAGCTTTATATGAGACAGGGCTTTTCTTTTTAAGCTACTTGAAAAGTAATTTATCTCATCAACTTGTGACAAAGATGTCTTCTGTGGTATCCTCATAGCCATTTTATTTCTTTTACTAGATTAAAGTTACCCCCTCACCCAATTTCCTTTTTTTCTAACAAATACTTTCTAAAGCAAATTCATTCCTTTGAACATGACCTGAAATATCAACACATTTTTAGCTAGGAACAAACTCACCCCTCACTCATTTGTGCTGCTTGCAAAAATAATCTTGGACTGCTCAGCATTATGGGAGATAAACTGCATAAGTGAAAAATTCCCAATAAACAGGTAAAGGGTGACAACTCGCATTATTAAAGAATTTTTTTTGTTCAGTTATGGATTCTTTGAGTTATACGCTGAATTTATAGGCATGAAATGTTAGAAGTCGGCTAACCAGCAAAATCTTTGAAATCACATTGTTGAGGAGACCATTTAAAATGCAAACATTTGATACATACCAAAGTTTTTTGCAATGTAGCTATTTGGTAAACTTGAAAAATAGAATCTCCAAAGATAGTCCAGGAATCTAATGTTGACTTCAGCTCAGGGCGTGATCTCACAGTTCGTGAGTTTGAGCCCTATGCCTGCTCTGAGCGCAGAGCCTGCTTCAGATCCTCTGTCACCCTCACTCTCTGACCCCTCCCATTAAAAATAAACATTTATAAAAAAATTCATAAAATCATATCTTCGGGTATGATGAAAACATAGTTTAGGAACGCAAACTGAAGAAAATAGGTTTGGCAATCAGACCACAGATGCACAAGTATTTAACATTGGTACAATAATCTGCAAAGAGTATATGGATATTCTTACTGGATATTTATTTTTACTTGTAACAATTTCAAAACAATTACAAAATGCTATAGAACAGTTCTTTTCTGATTGGTACATGTCCTGGGGCACATTTTTGCAATAACAGAAAAGTTAGTTTGCTGCTCACATATAAACTTCATTTTGGCTAAGTGCTAGGCACTATATGCTTCCTACCAAAATTACAGTGGGATACTGCACACGTAACTTCCTGTCCTGAGCATCTGAGTGTTGCTAGGCAACAGCTTAAAAGGCACCGCATACCTTTAGTGTGGTATTGCGAGATTAAAAACAAAATACCAGGTGAACTGTGTTGAGAACCTGAAAGTCTTGCAGGAGTAGAAGATACCAAGTGAATGTGGTGTGTGCGGCTGCATGGATGTGCGTGTAGAAATCTAAGTTATTCGCATTCATCCAAAACTTCTTACAGAGCCTAGAAAATGAATTTTCTTTAAAATATGTGGTTGCCAGAGCCAGATTAAATTCATAATGTCTCAACCTTGCTACGAATACCTTACTTGTCTCTACTATAAGCAGTGAATCTATTTTTTAAAAGAAGGCACCGGTTTACAAAACAGCAATAACAGTAGATTATTCACATTCCCTTCTCCCCAGTTGTAAGCCACATCTCTGGGCAAACAGGAAATATACTGTGGCCCCCAAACATGTCCTCTATAAGGAAAATGAATGAACTCTCACAAGTATTGCAATTAGCAATAACATTTTAAAAAATCAGAGCTCCTGCAATTAGTCTTTCTCTTTTTTTCTTTTTTAAATGTTTTATTTATTTCTGAGAGAGAGAGACAGGCAGCGTGAGGAGGGGAGGGTCAGAGAGAGATGGAGATACAGAATCGGAATCCGAAGCAGGCTCCAGGCTCTGAGCTAGCTGTCAGCACAGAGCCTGATGCGGGGCTCAAACACGAACCGTGAGATCATGACCTGGGCTGAAGTCGGACGTTTAACCGACGGAGCCACCCAGGCACTCCTGGAATTAGTCTATCAAGACTGTATTCCTAGCATGAAGTTCAGATGCTGAGTTTGGAAGCTGGGTGAGGCGAGATTGTGTTTTCCAAATACAGCAGCACTAACCTAGCCTTTCCCACAGGCTTTTCTAACAGTGTGAGGTTGACACTCCTCGTCAAGAGGTGGGGCCTATATCCTTGAATATGGGTAGGCCAGTTACAGGGCAGAAAGGATATTATCTGACTTCCAAATCTAAGTCATGCAAGTGATACAGCTCCTGCTGGGATCCCTTCCTTTGGACTGTGTCTTAGGATCACTGAACACGTGGAAAAGGGCACCAGCCAGCCTGAAGCCACTGAGCTGGGAGACCACCTGGGAAGCTCCATGGATACAGTGATCTCAGAGAAGCCGAGCTCTTGTGGCCTCAAGGTTCCTTCCCTTCACCAATCTCCACATGGGAGAGAGCCAGCCTTCCAGCCAGCCCTACCTGACGCTGAGTAGGCGGCATGGTTGTCCTCACGGAGGCGTGCCCAAACCGCAAGGTAGGGAGAGGTGCTATCTTAAGCCACTAAAGTTTTCTGGTGGTCTTTGATGCATCATGAGGTAACCAGAACATTAAGAGCTGGACAATACTTTGTGATAGTTAAATGCTAAGTATAAGTTGACAGAACCATAGCAGCATTGGTTGATCAGCAAATGAATATGCTAATTTACAGCCTTAGTGTCTGAATTAATTAAAAGCAGAAAACCGCCTCGTCTTGATAAGAGACATGGAAGTGTTGGTTGACCACGTTCCTTCTGAGACCTAACCATGGTCTGATTTCTTAATTATGATAGTCGAGTGAGCAGAATAAGGCAGAAGATGTAGGGGTCTTTCAGTAGTCTATTTCTCATGATTCTCTGGGTCAGGAATTGGGGTAGAGTTCAGTTGGGGAGGTCTTCTGCTCCACGTGATTTGGTGGGGGTAACTCATTCAGCTACGTCCAGCCTGTGGCTGGGCTGGGCTGGACGGTCTAAGGAGGCCTCTCTCGTGTCTGCTGCTCCTCTACGTGTCCTTTCCATCCATGTGCGGTGGCTCATCACTCAGTAGTCAAGCCCAGCTTCATTAAAGCATGGAGGCTGGCTCCTGAGAGCAGGAAGCAGACCTTTTAGGGCCTGAACTGGGAAGTCCCAGAATGTTACTTCCACTGCATTCTATTGGTTAGATAAAGTCACAAACCAAGTCAAGGGCTGGGAAAGACTCCACTTGTTGATGGATGCCATGTCATGCACATCCATGGGTAAAGTGGGAGGAAACTGACTGTTGTCTGGGGGATAAATGGGAAGAGCAATTGTCTCTAAAGAGAGAGAGTGGTTCTAATCCTGGTTCTGCTACTCTAACTAGCTATGTGGTGTTGGCCAAGTTACCTATTAATATGCTTCACCAGTTTGCACACTTGCCAGGTGAGAAGAATGAGGCATGAACTCCGAAAGTCCTGTTTTACTTCTCATCAGGGAAGAGACTACATTAAGCCTGGAAGGTGGGGGTGGGAGGGGATGTAAACAATTAATGAATTCTCGAACTGTTCTCTCTGGGGCTATCGTTAGCCTGTGTTTAACCTTTAGCTGTGGTCTGGCTAAAGTGACATCTCCCTAATCAATCATCATATGATCTCTCTTGAGAGATCAAATGTTCCTGTTACAACCTAACCCCCTCCCCTTCTCTGCCTCCTCCTTGTCAGGCTCATGGGCTGGGAAATCAAAATACTGTTCTGTTTCACAGTTGTTACTATCTTTTACAGGGAGCAGGAGGCATTAGGACTTCAAAGGGAGTTGAGGTAGGGATCCTGGAACTAGGATTTGACAAAATAATTTGGCCAACTCTAACAAACATTGTGTTGACCAGTGTGAACCCGATGCAAGATGTGAGACCGCTGAAGCAAACGGAAAGATTTTTTGTGTTTCTAAAAGTCTTCAACCAGGAGCTTTATAATTTTGAAATACACAAGTTATTCACCAAGTACTCTAAAAAAGCCCTCATTTTAGGAGAATTATAGGTTGCCACAGTGACACTCCTGAACTAGATCCGGGATCATTATTTGGTGAGGTTCAGTACATATACCATCTATGGTAGGTGTACAAGGAACTCCTTAAGGAGCTCATCATTCAGTAAGTTATCTAGTACCTTCCAACTTGTGGACCTAAGTTTGACATGGCATTTGAGCCCTTACAGGCTGTATCACTTCAGGAATTTCAGCAACAGCATCCAGATTTAGGCAGAGACCTGTGTACCTTACCCAGTGACTCCATCACCATAGCCATTGATTTTCATTTTGGGGGTAGGGTGGAGCCATTAGAACAATGTGCACTGAGATCTCCTGGGTCTCAGATTATCTCTCCGGTACTAAACTATTAAACCCTCCTATGTCCTTCCTATTTTATTGCCAGAACTGTCAGGACTCCTCAAATGAGGAGATCGTAATGTCTTTTGGTCATCATAAACAATGTACACATCATTACTATTAGAACATAGAACAATCTGCTAGATCTGCCACTCTTTTTTTTTTTTTTTGTCTTCATTCTTTCTCTAAGCTCTAGTTATCTCCCCTCACCAGCATCTTATCTTCCTTTCCTTGACACACGGCTCCGTCTCCCTCACATCCTCTTTCCAGTGATTCCCTTCTGCCAAAATTTCAACTCAGGCTATACAAATCCAAATGCAGTAAAGATATCTTCCAAACATGATGAAGAAAGGTGTGATTAAAAGCATTTAGGAAAGGGATGCCTGGGTGGCTCATTCAGTTAAGTGTTCAGTTCTTGACTTCAGCTCAAGTTCAGTTCAATTCTTGATCTCACTGTCATGGGATTGAGTCTTGCATTGGGTTCTGTGCTGACAGTTGGAGCCTGCTTGGGATTCTCTCTCTCCTCCCCCTCCCCCTTCCCTGATTCACACACACACACACACACACACTCTCTCTCTCTCTCTCTCTCTCTCAAAATAAATGAATGAACTTAAAAAAAAAAAAAGGCATTCGGTAAGCAATGAGTTCTAAAATCTTAGGGGGAGACAGTGGCACAGAGGAACCAGAACATAAGATCTCAAATGCGTAAAGGTTTTTTAAAATTTGTTCAAATCTCATTGTTCTTTAATCCTTCTCCCATTTTTACAGCTGTCTGACAAAAACCTTCAGTAAAACTATGCACCCTAAGAGAAGATAGAAAGAAAGGCAGGAGGAGCCATTCTGTGCTAACAAGAAAATGATGTTTGGAGGTAGAGGAGCAGATCTGGAGTCTTTGCATTCAGGTAACAAGCTAAAAAAACTGTCCATTGGAACTCATAACCAAGCGCAACATGCTACTGGATATGACAAATGGGGGACATATGTTTGGCTAAGTCCTGTGTCAGCAGTGTCCCATCTTGCCAGAGGCCATCATGACAGCTTGGAAGCAGTGTTAAAAACAACAAAAATATTTTGTGTTCCTAAGGGGCAGGCGGCATAAGAATATACGCAACTGACACAGGTATGTGTGTCCGCTAGCATCATGGGCTAGACACAGTCTTAATCTTTGTTCATAAAACCATGCATGCTAAAGCTGCACAAGAACCCCTGTAATTGGGTTGTTAATAATAGAAGTCTAAGTGTCACAGAAGTTCTAAGCGGGCCCTAAGGACTAGCCTACAGGGAACGCCACTGGCCAGGTGGGTGCCCTCGGATGAGATGATCTCTATGAACCTGCTATTCCTACTGGAAGATCAGAGGCCTGGCCCATGGCGGTACTCAGTAGATGATCATTACTGGGCCACGCGTAGCTACTCTCTTTTTTTTTTAATTTAATTTAATTTTTTTATTTTTTATTTTTTTTTACAGATAGTTTATTGTCAAGTTGATTTCCATATAACACCCAGTGCTCATCCCCACAAGTGCCCTCCTCCATGCCCATCACCCCCCTTCCCCCCCCCCCCCTACCCATCAGTCCTCAGTTTGTTCTCAGCATTCAAGAGTCTCTCATGGTTTACCTCTCTCCCTCTCCCCCACCATTTCCGCCCTTCTTCTCCCCCTTGTTCCTCAGTTAAGTTCCTCCTAATCCTCCTATACGTGCAAACATACGATATTTGTCCTTCTCTGCCTGACTTATTTCGCTCAGCATAACACCCTCAAGGTCCATCCATGTTGCTACACATGGCCAGATTTCATTGTTTCTCATTGCCATGGAGTATTCCCTGGTATAGATAAACCACATCTTCTTGATCCATTCATCCGTGGATGGACACTTAGGCTCTTTCCAGGTTTTGGCTATTGTGGAGAGCGCTGCTATGAACACTGGGGTACATGTGCTCCTATGCATCAGCATTTCTGTATACACATGGCCAGATTTCATTCTTTCTCATTGCCATGTAGTATTCCATCATATAGATAACCCACATCTTCTTGATCCGTTCGTTAGTCGCCCCCATATCTCACACGGAAACACGCGTAGCTACTCTTGACAGAATTCATCGGGGATCGAGTAATTTAGCCATAAAATGGGAAAGCCTGGAGTTCTTTCTCACCTCCCCCCAAAAGGCAGTGTGTGCAGCCTGCGACACCTACTTCCTTCCTCTTCCAGGGAACTGGCTCTTTCCCCACAGAGGACTGCCCCGACACCCCCACCTCCCCCGCTTTCCACTAGAGCTTGTGGCCTCAGTTACCTCAACCGAGTGTCAAGCCCCGCCCCCCACACCTCTACCAGCCACGCGCATGCGCACACAGCACTCAGCCAAGCTGCGCACGGGCCGCAGCAGGGAGGAACACGCGCCAGCTGGGTGTCCAGCTCGCTCTCGGGGCGGGGCAGCAAGGGGGCGTGGTGAACGCGAAGCCCGCTTTTGTCATTGGTGGCGGCGGGGCCACGCGGAGGCCCACGTGAGCGGTCGGCTCAAGGGCCCACGGGCTGGGGGCCCGGGGCGCGCAGGCGCCGGCGGGGCCGGGGCGTGGGCGGAGGTGGTGAAGGGGTGAAGGTGGAGGAGGGAGTGCCTGCGAGCAGGCAACACAGGCCTGGCGCGGTGCCGTGCAGCTGGCGGCGGGTGGGGCCGCCGGGCGGGCCGCTGCGTTCTCCTGTCCGCGGAGGCTGCGGACGGGAAACGATCCGGGTGGGGGGCACCCGGCCCAAACCCCTTCCCCTGAAAGTCTGCGGGTTCCTGGGGCCAGGTAAGCCAGGTAGAGGCTCCGGGCCGTGTTACAAAACAACGTTGAGACTCGCAAAGATCAGCCCTCTAAGGCTTCTGTGTGTCCATTGCGGTCTCTGATCCCTGGCAAGTCCCTTGGCCTGGGCCTCAGTTTCCCCGCTCCTTTAGGGGGCTTGCGACCTGAGAGTGGCCACGAAGAACAGAAATTTCACGTCACAATAACTCCTTGCCTAGTGAGTATTTAGAGCACCTGAGCCATGCCCTTGCCCTCAGGGAAAACAGGTGCCTAGTTCAGGCACTGAAGATCAAAGTTTCAGGGTGGTTGAGTGCCAGGGCTTTGGAGTGCCCCCGCCCTGGTGGGTTCCGCCGCCCGGCCTGTGTGAGCTTGGGCCTCAGTTTCCTTATCAGGGCATAAAACGTGCTTCAGAGATAATGAAAAGATAGTGTGCAGTGGTTAAACGTCGTTGTCAGGGGCACATAGTAGCTCCTGACACGAGTTAGAGGCTGAGGCAGCGCACAGGGCTGTGCAGTCAGTTTGCTCATTTCAAAGCAGCTGAAATGTCTGGGGGAATACAGGCGCAGTGTAGGAGCCCGGGGTGCACACCCGCAGAACAGAGGTTGATTTTTATTCTCTAGGCTAGCCAGAGTGAAGGAATGCAGTTATTAATTTATTAAGCACATTCCTCTCTCCCTGCCTTAGAAAAAGGCTTCTGAGCCTTTCTGAATCTCTAGTTGGTAGTGTTTTAGAACCGCTAAAGAAGATGTTTAATTGATTTTTCTGAATTCTTATATTTAGACCAGTTCTGATGATCAAGAAGGAAAATGATTCATTTGCATTTCGGGCGGTTAATAGTGTATTGTAACAATTTGGGATGAAACTGTCAGTACTTCACAGGAAAGCTGGCAAAAACAGATATTCTTCAACTGTTACTGTGGCTCAATGTTGAAAGCTTAAAAAATAATCGTGTTCTGTGCTGTTTTTACCTTTCTTTTGGTCTCCATAATACCCCTGCCTCCAGCATCTCTAGGTGGTTAAAAGCTGTTATGTATTACTTTTTTATAGACACGCATTTTGACCTTAATCTCACCTTTTCTTACCAGTAACTGCTTTAAGATCCTGTTGCTACAAGAGTTCAGGGAAAATCCATTTGTAATATTATTTGGAGAAGGGTGACCACACCCTGACTTCAGCAGAGTGTTGAGTAAATCAAGCTACTGTTCTTTCTGGAAAAAACCTGCAGCTGAAACTGGGATTAGGGATAAAGAAGCCCAGCTGGATTTTGCCCCTTGAATGCCAGTGATAATTTCTGTTTATGGTCTGTTTATCATACAACATGCTTTGCCAGAATATGACCAGTTTTTTGTAAGCCTACCATGACTGTACATAGTATGTGATGCCTTGTGTCTCAAGTATGTATAAATAGCTGATTGATCTTGACCTGTTGAGTGAATGGGAGATGTTTGCTTGAAGCAATGGCTTGTCTCCACATAGGTCTTTGCTGAAAAAAGTAGCCATTTGATTGATGCTAGCTAATTGAAAGCATATGAGAGATTCCAGGATTTGACTTTTTCATTTATTTTCAATTTTTCATTTTAATGTTGTAAACACTTGTAGAGTGGGCCTGTTAATGTTCCGGTTTCCTGAAATTGGCTTTAAAGAATTAGTTGTCCCTGGTCTCACTTGCTACTTCAGTTCAACATACATTATTAACAGTATAGTATGCTGAATAACTGTAACAATTATAATAAACATTTGTTGAGCACGTACTATTTATATTGACAGATTAGAAACATCATTTTATTTTTTAAGTATGCTCCAGGCCCAGTGTGGGGCATGAACTCATGACCCTGAGATCAAGACTTAAGCTGAGACCAAGAGTCGGAAGCTTAACTGACTGAGCCAACCAGGTGCCCCTGTATATATAATTTATATCCATTACTTCACCGTATTTGGCACTGGGGAATAAAACAGCATTTTTACATGTTCCTCTACCTTAGGAGTCTTATGATCTTGTTTTCTGTTATTTTTGTTTTGTCTTGTTTTTTTGTTTTTTTAAAGAGAAAAGCTTCCTGAAAACTTAGACTTGTCAATTGTGATAGAAATCCTGGATATTTAAATTGTTTCTTTGAGAAATACTTTTCTTTTTTAAATTTTAATTTATTATTATTTATTTGAGAGAGAGGGAAGGAGGGAGGGAGGGGAAATCTCAAGCAGGCTCTATGCTCAGCACAGAGCCTGACTCAGGGCTTGATCCCAGGACCCTGGGATCATGACCTGAGCTGAAATCAAGAGTGGATGCTCAACTGACTGAGCCACTCAGGCATCCCAAGAAATACCTGTTTTCTTTAACATTTTAACATTTTAGTTTTTTCTTTGTCTCAAATGAAATAATTAAATGTTGCGATGTTAGTGTGGGTCTTAGCCAAAACTGATTATTTTCTTACTTTAATAAAAGGATCACATAGCGGATACTTAAGACTTTACTAATAAGGTTGATATTGGTTTATAAAAGTTCAAACAGGGGTTTTTTACTTCAGAAAAGGAAAGGTAAATTTGTTTATCCTCTATTGCATTAAAATAAAAAACTGAATTTGAAAACATAGGAAATTAGTACTAGAGAGCATTGCTAGATAAAAATAAGCCATTAGAGTTGGGGCACCATGGATTAGTTTATGATACCTACATGTATAGTTGTATATAATGATATATACAACATATATATATATATATGTTGTAGCATTGTTTGATTTACAAAATGCTTTTACTCCATCTCCTTTCACCTAATTGTCCTATATCACTTTGATAAAGATAATTGCTTAACTCATGTAAGAAATGAAAAAATTTCAGAGAAGATAACGGAATTGCCTCTTTGACAGGCATTCAGATTGGAAAGGGAGAATAAAATGCCTTTATTGGTAGATAGTCTGGTTGTCTATGTAGAAAATTCCAAAGAGTTCACAAAAAAGGTACTGTATCTGGTAGGAAGTTTAGCAAGGTCACAAGATACAAGGTCAATAGATGAAAATTAATCCTACTTTTCTGACAGAAACATTTTGAACTTAAAAAATTTTAAGTGCTTTTTATAATATCTAAACAGTTAAAACTGTGATAAATATAACAAAATACATGCAAGATTTCT